GCGCGCGTCCGTCCGGTTCACCTGGACCTCGCCCTGCGTCACGAGGAAACGCTCCCCAACATTGAAGAGCAGGGTCAGCACCTCTAATATATGTATATATTCCCCTATGGGCCTCTACTGAAGTAATGGGGATCAGCCTTTCGGTTGTATCTTTGCTTGTTAAGACAAGGTTGAAATCTTTATTATACACCCCAGAACACTTTATATATCACTAGGGGGATATGATGATATTATTATTGTTATTATTATTATTATTATTATTATTGTTATTATTATTATTATTATATTTTTTCATATTTATATTTACTATTATTTCAGGGTGAGGATGAGGAGTGAAGGGATTAGGATGATGGTGGGCGATTAGGAGGTGTTACGTGGGGTAGTGGGAAGTGGGAGGCGTCCGTGGGCTTTTGGAATCATCCCAGCATTCGCCTTGTGACCGAGGGAAACCACGAAAATCCCAGTCATGACGTCCGGCTCGGGGATGGAACCCGAACCTACCGATTGCGAATCCAGCTCGCTAAGCACTGAACAGCTTCGCTCGGTCTCACTCTCTCTCTCTCTCTTTCTCCCTCTTTCTCTCTCTTTCTCTCTCTTTCTCTTTCTTTCTCTTTCTCTCTCTCTCTTTCTCACTCTCTGTGTGTGTGTGTGTAATTTTATTTAATATAAAGTTTAATTTCATGCCCTAATTACTGTCAAAATACCAACATATCATACATTATTGAATTGCTCCTTTCATGATCTATCAATCGCCAGTGAGTAAAATATATAGTTCCATATAAAAAATCAAAGATGATTTGTTCAGCGGAGAGTGCATTTCGATAGAGTGAACCGTTTAGAAGTTATGAGGATGGCCCATAGTTGGTGGGACAGCCTGTACAATAGGATACTATTTCGTAAAACTGTTACTTGTTTATAAATTGTGATGTCTTGGTACCATATTTCAGTTTTGGTTTTCGGTATAAGCTTACGTATCCGAGCACACGCATTTGCTCATTCTCGTTCATCTGATGTATTTTGTATCCTATATGAAAACGAATAAGTGGTACTATTATTATTATAATTATAAATATAAATATCACATTTATCTTGATATTCTAAACAATTAGGTACTGAAGTGTTTTCTTCTTTAGTGTAAATGAAAAACAATGAAACATACTAGAAAATAATTGAGCAACGCATAATATGTCCTCTTGAATTCTCAAAGTTTTGGCGCAACTCAGAGCTTTTGTTATCACAGAATTATTTCACTAAGTTGGAAGTTAAAATATCCTATTTGACTTTACACTTTGATTGAGCAAGCGCAATCTCTGCGAATCCGACCGGGTTGTGCTCGTCTCGAGAAAAGTTCACTCTGGCAACTCCACGTCGTCGAAGATCTCGTCGTATGGAACGTTGCCTATGATGGCGAAGGCGAACTCGCGAATGACTTGCGCCGCCGCCTCCACGAACGGCTGCCCCAGGTCGTCCACCACAGCTCGCCAGTTCTCGTTCAGGAAGTTGTTGAGGGTGGTGCCTGCAAACAGCACGTAGTGGATTCCCTACAGACCTCTATTTCTAAGGCACAATGGGAGAGGACGCGGCGCGATGCAGCAAGGTTAAACTCATCTTCAGCGACAAACATTGACTTACAGCAATGAGCGAGCATGGTAAGATTTAGAAGCCAGATTTGATCTTTGTTCGTGACCAACACGAAGGATTTTAAATATCGCATCAAGTGTTTTCTAGAGGGCTGCTCAAGTGGACGACCCACTTGGTGTGCCCCAGCTCAAAGCTTATTTGCGTGCAACCAGTGTGGCCCCTGCTTGTTGAGTCAGCACGACGATGGCGCTCGGGCGCAGAGAACTCCAGTCGGCCACCGCGGTCGGATTGAACCGAATTCTGGCACTTGAACTTCCCTGTTCTAGACCCCAGATTTGTCTCAGCAAAAATACCATTATAAAAGAAAAGTCATCGTGTGCAATAGAATCATAATTAAGGAATTAAATAAAATCTGTCTCAATTGTAAAGAAGAAATTAACTCTGTTAATTTCCTATTAAATATATTTCTGAAATTGGAACCGAATAAAATGTTCATGTTGATACATGGTCTTTTCAAAAGAGTTGAATTTTAGAGTGTATTTTGTCTAACAAAAAATCTCTATCTTGAATTTTGTAGTTTAGAAAATATTTAAAATAATTTTTTGCAATGTTCGAAAAAAGGAGAGTTTGCAGTAAATGGGGCTAGCACAATATTTTTTTACCGACATTTAATAAATACGTGGGGAAAATATAACGAAAAACTTGGGGCAATTATTAACAAAAACAGTTAAAAAACAAAAATTGGGAGTTTTTAGGCAAAAGTACCCAAAACATACTCATATTTTTAAAACAAATTGCATGATTTGTCTTTACAAGATCTGTATTTGAAGAACAGATTTTATAAACAAAAAACACACTTTCATATCGGAGTTGTAGGAAGACGCCAAAAATTGAATTGTTTGTAACTTTCGAAAACTCATTCATTTAATCGAAAATGAGGCCCACACCATTCCTTTACACGTCATATATGCTATCTCATGACAAAATATAATCAAAAAAATGGTTTTCATTTTTGCAAACGTTTTAAAAATGTTGTTAAGACTTAATGTAAATTATTCTCTCTAAAACTAACTATTAAGGTAGGAAAATCCTATTAATTAACCTTAACTAATCACAAGATGCCACTCACAGTTAACTTAACTCGTAAATTCAGTTCAAAAACGATTTGAGTTGCAAAAGGTAAAGTATTTTCGATTTTCTGATTTGTTGTATGTAATAATACTCTTTTGAAACATCCACGTTTTCGACATCATTCTCCTTAATACTTTTCTCAGTGGTTTTTAAAAAGTCAGAGGTTTTACAATAGTAATTGGTTTTCTTATTAATTGTTTTTGCGCAACTGAGAGCAAATTTCATAATTTCTGACCTTTCAGAGAAATTCATATTCTGGAATTTGCTACAAAATATTTCACATTTCTTTTACTGGCTGCCTTGAAATACAATTTTTGTGAAATTGTGTTAAAACTGTAAATACCACCATTTGACTAAATTTGAAGTCAATATTTTTCCGCGCCCATTGAATACATTTTGCATTTAATATGAACACGATATAGGCTTACGGATATGATAACTGATGTAGGCCAACTCGGAACATACATCGGGGTCAGCATTTTAGCTGAATCCGAAATTTTTTATTCCTCAAGGTTGTTAGCCGTGGGGGAATGGGTGGTGAGATGATCATAGTGAACGAAACGGATGTCACACACATATATTATACACAGATACACCCAGGCCCGAGGCGAGACTCGAACCAACGGTTTACTGGTCAGAGATCACTACGGTACTGCTCGAACGATCTCGGCCATCTTTACCGGCAATATGTACAGCTATTATAATCATAAAAGAGTAGGACTGCACTTATCATATTTCGCTGTATATGCGAATTAAAATGAGAACCCTCCCTAGTGATATACTGCAGCAATTATATTAGAAAATTCTATGTTGGTTTAAATACTAAGATTTTAAAAAAAATCTAAATAATCATACGTTCTACTAAATTGATCGTTCGTTCTGTAACACCTCTGGAATTTTACGTATATTAAGTATATTATATATAAAGAGACCAAAAGTACAAACCTAATTGTTTGTCTCCATTGAACAGATTTTCCAGAGTAAAGTGAGCATTAGAACAGTTGAATGTGGCACTATTCTCACCAAATCTGAGATAATAACGATCTCGTTCTTTCTCCAGTACATGGTTTTGTTTGTAGAATACGACAGCATTTTCTGAAACAAATGAAAATAGAATATAATGAATTAGTTTGTAATGTTATGGTTTATGGCATAGGAAGATGAGAACGGGGAGCGTGCTTTCACGTTTGCACGAATGCAATAAAACAACAACAAAAACAAACAAACAGGGAGGTCGGGCCCCGACGACAGGCGATAAGGGCGGGCAGTGTGGGTGGGTGGTGAGGGCGGACAGTGAGAACGGATGATGACAGCTGGTTTTTATTTTATGAGTTCGACTGCAACTATTGTTATTACTATCATTTTTTTTGTTTCGAGAATCGGCCATCATGGGCCACGCGTTACGTGCATCCAATCGGGGCCCAGTCATGATTATCTGGGTAGGCGTACGTTACTTTTTCAGTTGGGGTGGTCAGCATTGAATTCTGATTCCATTTTTACATCCCAAGGTTGTAACCTCCGGGGAATGTGGTGTAATGATGATGATGAAATGAGATACAGACACCCACACACCAACAGAGATATTATTATTATTATTATTATTATTATTATTATTATTATTATTATTATTATTATAATTTTTATTCTCCTTGCCTATTCTTCAATTAGACTTATTCTAACCAACCGATTTTATATTTAACGAAAGTAACCTTCCAAACACCTGAAGAAATTTAATATATAACATTTAAACTGCTCACCGTAAACGAAAACGGCCTTGCCGCTTCCTTTAATGGGAAGTAATAAAACTCGTCCATCCACTGAGTAGTCGCCTGAAAGTTCCAGACGTGGAATCCGAATAACATTCACAAAGAACGATTTTTCTATGCTGGAATCAGATAAAAATTGAAAATATAAGATGATTTTGGAACAATTTCCTGTCTTAAATGTGAATATTGAGAAACAAGTAGTAATATCATACAATCGAACACCAATAATACGCTTGTACTTGCACAATTCACATAACTAATTGTGGATTAATTGTTTACAGTCATCTTCTACCATCTACTCATCCTTTCTGATCCCTCTCCCTCCCTTTCCTCTTCACCTCTTTCTATTTCTCACGCTCTTTTTCTCTCAGCCACATTATTTCTAACGCACTCTCTGACATTCACAGTCATACATACTCATACAGACACAATGGCGGTTCTGTAGGTAACTACTGCAATGCAGAGAGGTAATAATTATCATAATAGAGTTTTCAATACGTCGAATTACATCAGCAAGCTTGTGGAAAAATACTACTGTAACTACGATGATGCTTAATACTTTGAAACTTAATACACTTGAAAGTAATGAAAGGTAAATGTTAAAATAAATAAATAGATAATAAGAACTCGCGTTTGGCAGGTACAAGATAAATCAATGAGATATTTTTGCAGGTACACGTTCTGACTCAGTCTAAAAATTTCTTGGACCTGCCAAAGACCAGTAAAAGATGAAATGTCTACAAATCAGGAACAAAAATCACATATTGAGCTTCGAATTCATGAGATATCTCTCTCTACGTTTTCTAGAGGAAAGTGGTGCTAAAACAGGACGAACTCTCTCGCCCGTATTTGCACGCAAAAACTACAACAGCGACATCAGCCAGATCGATTGGGGAATATACATTTTGGGGAAAATCAGGTTGAACGGTTTATTCACTAGCGCTGTTCACAGACGGCCGGGTAGACGGACGTACGGGCAGCCAGACGGACGGCCAAACAGCCAGACGGGCAGCCAGCTAGACAGACAGACAGGCAGCCAGCCAGCCAGCCGGGCAGCCAGACGGACGGACGGATGGTCAGCCAGACACACGGAGGAACAGCCAGCCAGCCAGACGGACAGCCAGCCAGCCATTTTTCTGTCATTCGATTTTTTTGTATCAAGGAGGTACTCTTAATTTTAGCAACTGGATTTATCCACTTTTTTGTTACCTGGGCCCTGTAATAATAGTTCGTGGGTCACAAAGTCGCCGTTGTTTCTAGCAGCATTACATAACTTAATAACTGCCGCAAATGCGGCAGCAAGATAGTGAAAGTGATTATCTTGGATCTCCCCTGCGAAATTTAGAAGAAATAACTTTTATCAAAGAGATTCTGGATAACAGATAAAGAGAATCTTCTGAGTGTTAATCGCCTTGATAGTTACCCCATAACAATAAATCAAAGAAAGCCAGAATATTTGGGTTACATTTCTAATCCGGGTGCTTCACACACAGTGAAGTAGAAAATTGTGTGTCCTGCTTACCGTAAGCTTACGAGGTCAGCATTGGCCAATCCCTTCATCACAATGTTGCGGCAATGCATATTCAATTGATTGCCTGATTGAATGTGAATTGCTGTGATAGAGGATCAAGGGGAGGTAGACGTACAGACGGATCACCTGAAAAAGACGTGGGCAGAAATGTTAAGTAAATTAAAACTTGGGCGCAACTGGGAGACGTGTTTGGCTGTTTTCAAGATGTGTCAAAGGTTCTAAGTTTTCAAAGCCCTCATATGAGTCCTACATAGGGTTTTATTTATTTAATAGGTAATTATTACAAACAAATTGGCTTACTTGATACTTTACGTTCATACTCTCGGGAAAGGACGCAAGAGGGGGATATGCTTGTTCAGGTGTGGGATGAGCCAAGAGTATGACTAAAGGACGAATAGTGTAATGCATCT